GATTTTTATTGTACTGAAATACAGTGGACCGTTGAGTTTCGGCGGCATCGACTTTCGTGAAATCTGACTTTCGGCAAGTTTTTTCAGCAAAATTTGGCCTCGCGGTTCGTGATTAGACTCGTGATTCGGCGACCGTCCAGTACCCATCCACCCGTCACCGCTCACACAAAGCCAGTCTCCCACGCCATTCACGCTCAGTGTGCCATTGTTTACCAACACGTGACCATCACTCCGCGAGTTCATACGTAATAATCCATTGTTTTTTGTGATTTCAACTGCTAAATAAGTCACCATGGGCTCAAGGAAAGCTAGTGCAAGCCCTTTGGTAAAGAAAGTGGGGAACACGATCGAATTCAAGAAGGAAATTATTGAAAAATATGAGAGTGGAGTGTGTGTTACAGAGCTTGCCAGGATGTATGGTAAACCCCATTCAACCATCACTTCGATCGTGGCGAAAAGAAAGGAAATAAAGTGTGCTGTTGTTGCAAAAGGGGTAGATATGCTGACAAAAAGGAGATCACAAATCCTCGAAGAAGTGGAGAGGTTATTGTTGGTGTGGATTACCAAAAAACAGATTAAGGACATTTGTGCAAAGTGGACTGAAGTGCAAACATTTATGGATGAACTTCACCCTAACAAAGCTGTTGCAGGCCATATTGGCAACACGTACAATGACAGTGTTGTGTCCCACTTCAGACAAATCTTAAAGAAATGCCAGAAACAGAGCTCTCTGGACAGATATTTTGTGCGACAGGGTTCCAGTGACTCTCAAGTTGTTCCCAGTGCCAGTGTCTTTAAAACACAAAGAAGGGAAGTAACCCCAGATAAGGACTTCATACTTGAAGTCCTAATGGAAGGAGATTCTCCTTCCAAACAATAGTGTACACCTTCCTCCTATCCCCTCCTCCCGTCTTCCATCCACCCAGAAATCTTCAGTAAAGGTAAGTGTAATGTTATTATTATTTTTTATATGTATTTACAGTGGACCCCCGCATAACGATGGCATCACATAGCGATTTTTCCGCATACCGATTACTTTTATCGAAAAATTTTTGCCGCGCATACCGATTAAAAACCCGCTTACCGATTTTCGTCCGAGACGCGTCCAATGTGCCCTCAGCCAGCCTCACATGTGCCGGCCATCCCATTGTTTACCAGCCAGCCTCCGCGGTAACATCCAAGCATACACTCGGAATATTTCGTATTATTACAGTGTTTTCGGTGCTGTTTCTGGAAAATAAGTGACCATGGGCCCCAAGAAAGCTTCTAGTCCCAAACCCCTGTGGTAAAAAGGGTGAAAAATTTTAGTATGGAAATTAAGAAAGATTTTGAAAGGGTTGGGGCTAACCTGAGAAGCCTATCAGTTGTGGAATCCTTGTGCCTCTTCAAAGATTAAAAATGTGTGCACAGTGGGTTGAACTTGCAAACCTTTATAGATGAAAATCACCCTGACACAGCTGTTGCAAGCGTGTGGTGTGACTATTTACAATGGCACATGTTGTGGCCAATTTTAGACAAATCGTAATAGGACGAAAGAAGGATAACAGAGTCTGTATGGTCAGATGGTGTTTGGCGACAGAGGTCCGATCTCAAAGGTCCTGTGGCATTAAAAGAGGGGGGAAGTACCCGGAAAAAGGAACTTAGCTACCTTGTCAAGTGATAAGGCAAGGGGATGATCCCCTTCTAAAACAGTTAGAAGATAATGCTCCCCTCCTCCCACCTCATCATCACCAGATTTTCCAAAAAGTAAAGTGTCATGTAATTGTGCATGCCTTTTTCAGTTTGTTTTGTGTTTAAAAGTTAACATTTCATGTTGTCCATCAGTTTAAAAAAAAATTTTTTTCAATACTTTTGAAGGATTCTTGCAGGTTAATTAGATTTCCATATTTCTTAATGGGAAATTTCATTCGCATAACCGTTTTTCGCATAACCAATTATCCTCTTGCACGGAATATAAAAGTTTTATACCGGGGGTCCATGTTACTTGATTTCTCATTGTTTTCAGTATGTAAATCGTTATTTAATTTGAAAAAAAAATTATTTTAATATTTTTGGGTGTCTGGAACGGATTAATTTTATTTCCATTATTTCTTATGGGGAAAATGGTTTTGCCATTCGGCAGTTTCGACTTTCGGCAGGCTCTCTGGAACAGATTAATCACGAAACTCGGGGGTCCACTGTAATTATGATTTCGTCTTATGAACCAGCCTTCTACTTTCATACTGTTAGTAGATGAGATAGGGACCTGAGTTCCTGACTGCTGGAGGAACACATTTTAACATGTGACAAGAGAGCTTTCTTCCAGAAGTGGAATGAGAGTCAAGAAGTTGAAATGATTGAGACACAAAATATGACAAGGGCTGACTTTCATCACTTTCTTGAGGTGATGAAAGTAGCTAAAGAGGTCAGAAGAAATGATGCTGGGAAAACTGGAAATTGGTGTACTGTAGTAAATCGTTATGAGCCTCAGTCTTTTGAACGGCCATAGCTGTTTATGTTGCTGCAAGTGTTATGCTTCATCAGCTGTACTCAAGTAAGACAGGAAAGATAAACTCTCTTTTGTCCCTGAAACACAAACCAAAAATAGATTTATATTTTTGCAAAAGCAATGTATTCTAAGATGGAACATATTAGAATATCTTGCTTCACAGACATGTTGACTTTCACATTCCTAGATCACGAAGGATTGAGAACCTCTACAGACAGATTACTGAGTCTGTTCCAAAATAAATGCTAGAAGAAAAGGTGAGCTTTTAAATCATCATGTAGATATGACAGAGTTGACACAGCAAGAAATGTCAGTCATATCTTTGTGGAAAATGTAAAGGAAGGCTTGTAATGGCTGTATCATTAGAAATAAGGCTCAGATAAACTCGGGGAGGGGTAGAAGAGACTGAACAGGTTTTAGTCTTAAGAAAAATCTTTTGAAAATGCAGATCCAATTGAAAAATATTTTAATACCTGTACAGAAATCAGGGATAGGTAGGCCTTGTGAATTGCCACCAGTGATTGTCAATGCGTTGCTGGTTCTCTACAGGGTGTTATAACCACTAGTGCCATGATTGGTGATACATACATCATATTTCTTCATCAGTACAATCCAATCAGGCACTAATTTGAGGCATAGAAAGTCTAATCAGCAGGAGTGAGAGCCCCACTATGCACACTACTGTAACTGTAAGATTATTGTCAACCATGAAAAAAGTGAATAACTGGGCTAGAGAAATTGTTACATCCCTGAGGGTACAGTATATCTATCCTTTTTCCTAGAAGACGCCACTTAAATGGGAAGGTGTATTTCTATATTCATCTGTGCCACCAAGGCATCAACAATACTTTTGACATGGGCAGTATAAGTCCCCACTTTAATCCACTGGAAGTTCAGCTCAACACACTGAACATGATATTACATTATATTATGACTTGTGCAAAGCAAAATGAATGTAGACTAGTATCCTGTAGGAGGGACCAAGTTGAAAGCATCATAACAATGTAAGTCTATCAAGTGGACTTTATACAACTGCCTGCCCCATAAATCAGCTGAGACAGACAGTAATATATTATAACAGGTGTAACAGCAAGGAGTGATCTTGATGTCTTACTGGTGTTATGGAGATGGCACAGACAGGTTGCTATTGGTAGTTTATGGAACCTGAACAAAAAACATATACGTATCTTCACCTTTGCAAACTGGAGTGATCTTGCTTCTCTTAGGTAAGTCTTGAAAGCTTTGGGATTCAAGCGATTTTTTTTTTTGAAGTAGTATATTGTAGTAGCCTATGATAACATTGAACATTTATTATGGCTGTGGGACCCCTGAAGGGAAGTTCCTTGATGCAGGTGAGGGGCTCTTGATCCATGGAATTAAACCTGATCTCCCCTTCTTTGGATCAGACCTGATTATCTTTAATTTCTGTATTATTTCCATGAGTTTAGCTCTCCTCCCATGGATATATAGAAATAATGTGTTTGTGGGTATTTCAGTTTAGTTGCTTACTTTGTTTTGTAGACATTTGATTGTAACAAGCTTGTTGTGAGCCTATAAATTTGGTCCATTCTGTGTCCTCTTGTCCTGGTCCCATCCCCCTTTGAGATAGTCTTGCTACCTCCATATCATTCCCTCCAAGTACAGTATCTTGAATGTTATGACCAAGTCTCCCTTCTTCTCCTTTCTGCCTCAGTGTTGAGATTAGGCTCTTCAAGCCTGTCTTCATAATTCAGGTTCTTAATCTCTGGTACAGTACTAGTCTATTACCAAATCTCTGGACATTCTCAAACTTTCTTTTTTTATGAAGAGGAATGTACTCTGTTTGGTTTTGCATATTTAGGTACTGGCCTTATGAATGTGATTACCTGTTTGTAGGTACTTCATGATAAACTGAATACTGAAGGCAGGACTCCATGAGCTTAACTCTGTTCCTGTAGCTACCAGTAGATAATGTGTCTGATTACTGTATTTTGTGACATATAAAACACACTAGAATTGTTTTTGTAATATACCATATATATTCATTCTAAAATTGTTTAGATTGTTTAACTAGGGAGATTTTGAGATCCAAACTGGACCCTAAGCCTGACCCTCACCATATAGGATGCAGGGTGATTTTGAAGGTCAGATTTTGAAAAAAAGGCATGTTTCATATGCCACAAAATGTGGTAAATACAATACTCAATTACTTTTCTTGCGAGGCTTTTTCTTGATATCAAGGGTCTCATCTTCACATCAGATGACCTGTGTGTGATGTACATTCATCCCCATTCTTTTAGTGTGTGTGTGAATGATTATGAACATCTTGCTGCAAATGTTTATTCTCTGGGTAGCAATTGAGTGGAATTGAAAGAAGACTTTTGTTTTATCTTACAAAATGCATAAAAACTTTATCTGTTTGCTGGGATTTGTAATATGTTAGAATGATGTATTCATTCAAGGGTTTTGTTAGAGAGAATAAAAATAGTTCTATTAAAACAGAAATGTGTTATTCATCAGTTTTTCCTTGCAGCAAAGTGGGGCTGAAATGATTCATGCAGGAAGCTCCAGCGTGAGTGGTAGCAAGTCCTCGAGACAGAACCACATCAATCACCACGACCAGAGTGTAAACTCCATCTCTGTCATGGCTTCGATATCTTCACCTCCTTCAGCTGCTGCCACCTCTACCTGTACTGCATTCACTCATACTGTTTACTCCTCCACAAGCAAAAGTAAGAAGGAGGTACTAGCAGGGAGGCTTGTACAAGGTGGGACTCAGGACACATCTCTGGAAAAACAAACTGTCAGTGCCAGTGAGGATGATAAGAGGATAGCAAGTGGGACAAGGAGCCCAAGTAGAGGGGGTTCTGACGAGGACTGGCATGATGCCTTGGCTTATTTTGGGGAGACAATGGTTAGAAAATCAACACTACTGTCTGAAGGCAGATTGAGTGATAGCTCAGGTAGGCTAGGGCAAATTCGACAGCCCAGTATGTCAACACCATCAAGTCCAACGCTTAATGATTACCAAAGACACCATGGAAAAAAACTTAGTTGTTCAAGTACGTCGACGACAGCAAGTGATGTGTCAAAGTACATGAGTTCTCCTGGGCGGTACTCCATGGGTGATAGAGCTCATCCAAACAAGAAGGAGAAGACATCAGGTTTTCTAAATATCTTTCGCTGGTTCAGAAACCGGGAAAAGAAGAAGAGAGCAACATCAGTGGACCGCATGAGCAACACCAGTACAGGCAGCGTCAACAGTCTGTCTAGCTCTGCCAGTGGGCTTAATTATGCACCCATCATGAGAAGCAAGAGTGCTGACACACACAAAAAGATGTCTTCAAAAACTCAACCCCAGTTTGGTATTACCCGACGATATAAACTATTCTCAAGGAACGTTTCACATGAGCATAAACATTCAGAGGGTTCCAGTGAAGAGGGAGGCAGGAGGCTGTCAGTTGTAAGCACTTCCTCAGACACACTGTCTAGGTCAGAATGTCGAGGAACAACGCTGAGTCGAAAAAAAAGGCTGGCACCACAGCCACCTGGATCACCAAAGGCTAGTGATTCGGGATCACTGAGGTCACAGAAAAGCTGCACCAGCCTCCCTGCCAGGGAATCAAGGCCCATCATGGACTCAGGACAAGGTTTACAGAGCCCAAGTAGTTGGGTACCAGAAGGAAGGAAGCTTCAAAAATGCAAGAGTGAAGGTGTGATATATGCTAAAGTAAAGAGAAGAGCTCCACTACCACCAGGTCAGATAGCCACAGGAACAAGTGTTATAAATGATAATAAGGAGAAGTCATCAACACTTACTAAAGAGGGCCAGAAGAGGCGTCAGGCACCATGTGTTCCTTCTGAGAAAAGTGATAGACCATTAAGTTCTGTTTCCACTGGAAGTTGTCTGTCTCAGTCCCCATCGTCAGCATCTACCACACTGAAGTCGCAGAGCAGCAGCGTGGCATCCAGTGGGGCACCTAGCAGTCAGTACTCCAGTGAGTCTGTCAGACTGGAGAGTGGGTTTCTCAGGCAGGATATCACCAAGTCCTCCTCCAGCCCTGCCATTCCTGACTCTGGCAAATTAACACTCTCTCCTCGTCCTTGGTATAAAAGAAAGAAAAATAAAGATAAGGAAATTAATAACGATTCAAAATTAGCCAATAAGAAAGACAAGGTTTATGATAGCTGGATGCCAGATATTCAGTTTTCACGAAGTAAGCTTAGTTTAACCGGGACTTTTAGAAAAAGCAAAAGTTTTGAGAGTAGTGATGATGGCACATTTAAGAAATCAAAAGAGGATGATAGAAAAGAAAAGAGAAAATCTCAGGTTTCATTGTTGGCTAATATAAGTGAGCTGGATCGAGCAGCCTCAGAGCAGATGCAGCGTGAACTGGAGCAACGAAAAGCACAAAGGAAGACCTATGATAGCAAATTTTATAAAACCTGTGAACCACACATTCTAACACAGACAGACTTCCTGCCAAGAACGAGAAGTGAAAGTGAAGGGGAACTTTTTGATGGGGGTACATTGAGTTCTTCTGGGACAGCCACTCTAGGCTCCTTGGCTAGCAACAGAACAGAAGCTGGAGAGCATGCATTCCCAAACCATTTAAATGGTATTTATGATAACCTTAATGACACTGGCCCAGACCTAACTCTACCTCAAAGCTATTCAAAACAAGCAACACTCAGAATGGATGAAAAAGAAGGTAACTTCCATCATTCCAGTGAATGTAAACCAAGTGCTCCTGATGCCTCACTGATTGGTGTATCCGGTTCATCTCCAGGACCAAATTCTCCCAAGACTAGCAGATCCACCTCACACCTTAGCCACTCTGCACATATTCTAGGTGCTACCACTACACAAGAGCCCCTCTCATCTATTGCTCGAGAGTCACCAATAAGGAGAGCAACATTTGATGCAGAATTGTTTTACCGGCTTGCCAAAGATACTCAAGTCTCTGTTGAGCCAAAAAGCAAAAATTCTCCAAATCTTACTGGGGTCAAGGAGAAAATGGCATCATATGAGGAAGTAAGTGAAGAAGAGATTGAGGACGAAGCATCACTTGGTAGCGAATCTCTGGGCCAGTTTCGGAGATTGAATAAAAATTTTGGTCTCCGCATGAACAACTTTTTCTCTCCAGATGTTTCTACAATCATTGAGGCATCTGAGTCCATGACATCAAGTGCCACAACTCCAGCAGATGATATTTATGAAGATCTGCCTGTACCCTCATCTGTCATGGGAAGAGCAGGGAGGGAGTCTGTCCATGATGAGCTGAACAGCGAGGCGAACTATGACATTCGTCTTAACACAGCTGATGCTCTGGAGATCATGCAGGATCTAGCAGATGTTAGACAAGAAATACAGATGATCAACATTGAAGAAGAAAATGAGGCAAGAAACAGGGAAAAGAAGAGGGCAGATAAGATTTGTGAAGAGATGTTTCTTTCAAGAAACAGAAGTAATTTTGAAATTTGGCAGAATGCAATAGGACATGTAGGACCTAGTAATACAGATGCAGCTCCACCACCTCCCATTGACCTGAATGAAGGAACAGATCGTAAGCTGAAGTGGGTGTGTGAGGTTTGTACTCTGATCAACTTGCCATGGAGGCTTCAGTGTGAGGCTTGCATGGTGCGTCGACCCTCCAATCCAAAGAGAATAGATGAGGATGGAAAATCTTTCACCTCAGATCACATTGGCTCTCAGCCTAGCATCTCTGATGAAAGTCCCGTGACAGTGATCCACGATGAAGGTAATGTAGAAGGTTCTAGGGAAGCTTTGGGAGGTCCTGATGCTCTTGTACCAGACACTTGCCAGATACCGGAGGGGGATCAAAAATCTCGAGACAAAAAGAAAAAAGATATTAACTGGGAGAGAGAATTGCAAAAATATTTCAAAACATTTGACGAGCATGTCAAAGGCAGTATGAGCGACACCAAAGATTGTGCACTAAATTCAGAAACTCTAAAACCCAATGAAATGAGTGCAAGTGAAGCTGAGGAATGTTATGGAAAAATTAGAAAGTTCGAGGAATGAATCAGGCACTACAGGACCTAGTACTTCTGAAGAACCTAAGGTTTGGGGCAAGGGTGCAAAGCCAAAGACAGGTATTTTTGGCACTGCTGCAGGACCACCTGACATGTTTATTCAAACCTCTGATCATCTCCAAACTGACAATGAGTTAAAAACATTAGAGTTTACTATTAAAGAGATGCATAAGATTGAAGACTTAGACAAAGAGCCAGATATGGAGCAGTTGAGAAGAGTAAGGATAGCAAAATTTCAGGGAAACACTCATACTGATGGTGATCAAATGAACCACAGTGAAGCATGCTCATTAATGGTTGTTCAGGAAAAAAAAACAACAAAAAAACATGGAGACAAAAGGAAAAAAAGTAAAACAAACAAAACTGAGCTTCAAGAAGACAAGGAAAATGAGTTAGAAAATAGCAGTGATGATGTTAAAAGTTTGTCAAAAGAACAAGTCTTGAGGCTCAGAGAAATCGAGTATCAGCACAAAGAGGAGAAATCATTCTACAGTAAAAATTTTCGTAAACCGCAAGTGTTAAAGCCAAGTGGTGCTGTACGTAATGTGGTTAGTATTTTTAATCAGTTTGAACAGTTGCAACATGCAAAGAAAGAAAAGCCTCGAGTGACTCGTAGAAGGTCATTTGGTAATGTAGTTGGAAGAACACAAATTTTTGAGCAGTTAAATAATCAAAGCAATAATCTGGAGCTACAGAGATCCCAGGCTGAGACCAGAGAAGTTAACAGACCACAGTTTAAGAGTGATGTTCCAAGGGACACAGAAGTATTTTCTGCAATTGCTAAATTTGATGAAATGGCTGCCATGGCTGAATTAGAAAAAATTGAAAAACAGAGATTAAGAAAGGAAGCAGCCAAAAGAAAACCTAAATTCAGTACATTATCTTATGCAAACGAGAATGTTGCTACCACCACTACAGTCGTTGTCAGCTATGACACTAGTTCCATCAACAGCACCTATGTTACAGCAGATTCACAATCTTACACTCAACTTGTCCTTAACACTGAACCGATATCTGGAAAACCTCCCCTTGATCCTAAATCAAATTCTCATTCCATTGATCTGTCAGAGGGAATCATAAAAGGAGGCGTCCTTTATACTGAACAACGCAAGCGCTCCATGTCCATAGGATCAGGAACCTTTGAATTAATCCAGGCTAAAGATTTTGAAACTATTGAAGCACAGCACAGTGAATGTTCACCAACCGGTGAAGGTCGAAGCATCACCAATCCTGTCACCCTTTCACAAAACACTGAAAACTGGAGCATCGCCCCTTCACCAAACCCACCAGGAGTGATGGTGTCTCCAGTTGTGCCAGATATTGTTATTGAGCCACATGTATCCCTTCCATCCTGTTCTGCTAACACCACAGTCATGGTGTCAGAGGCAGGAGATCAGCTTGGGGGTCATGAGCATACAGAAAAGAAAGAAGTTGAGAGATTGAGTCGTCAGCTTACAGAAGCTGATGGTATTGCTACATTTAAAGGTAAGAGACAAGGCTGGTGGATTTATCATCATTGAATTTGATATTTTGTTAAGCTTTATATTTCTAAATAAGAAAGTATCACAATTTTGCTTTAAAGCTATGAATGTTCTTTTACTTCCAAGATGGTATATCCGCTATGCTTTTGATATATTGTACTGTGCAAAATTTTAGAGGAGTCTTGATAGCCAGTATATCTAATATCGTTTAACCAATTGCTTCTGAGCTAGTCAAAATAAACACAGTAAATAAAGAGAATGGTAATTCAGACACTGAACTGTTAATGGCTCAGATAATTGGTAAACGAAGATAGATCACCGAGGATGAAGAGAATCATCAAAGAGTGTTGATTAAGGTGGGGTTTGTTTGTTTGTTTGTTTGTTTGTGTGTGTGGTGTGTGTGTGTGTGTGTGTGTGTGTGTGTGTGTGTGTGTGTGTGTGTGTGTGTGTGTGTGTGTGCGCGCGCTGTGTGCGGCGCGCGGTGGTGTGCGTGTGCAGTTGTGCAGTGCGTGCGTTGTGCGTGGTGTGTGCGTGCGTGTGCGTGTGCGTGTGCGTGTGGCGTGTGTGTGTGTGTGTGTGTGTGTGTGTGTGTGTGTGTGTGTGAGAAAAACTGTCATCATAGGGTAAGGTCAGTAGTAAGCTTGCCCGAGCAATGTTTCTGATTTATTTACAATAGATTACTTGATGGAATGAATAATAAACTATGTGAATATATTAACAATAATAATAATAATAACAAATAATTTATAATACTAATAATTTATTTTCACTTGATACTTAGTTTTTACAAAAACTAATAATAGTGCAGAGGAAAGTCCCTGGTTATGCAGAGCATTTCAGGCAAGTTACAATCTAATATAAAACAAATAGAACAAAAACAGAACTTAAAAAAAATTCATTGTACAGTGGACCCTCAGTTAATAATGTCATCAGATAATGTAAAAATCGGATAATGACACGTTTTTGCGTCAAAATATTGACTTGGTTAATGACAAAGAACTCGGTTAAAGTTATTTGTCCTGAACGTGTCTGCACGCCTGAGCGACCCGGCCACTCCATGTACAGCCAGTGTGCCATTGTTTACAAGCCAGTGAGGACGATTCCACGTGTACATGCGATACATTTTGTATATTCCATTGTTTTAGTACAGTACTTGTAACTGCTAAATAAGGCACCATGGGCCCAAAGAAAGCTTCTAGTGCCAGCCAGCCCTTTGTTCAAGGGCTGAGAGAGAGGCGAGAATGTGTCTTTTTCAGCGATTCTGCAATATTTATGATACTAAAGCAGCAGGAGTCTATAAAAGCTATAGCGGCAGCCAGTGATAAAGTGTAGCATAAACTGTAGCAAGTAAGTTAAGCGATTAATCAATAGAAAAAGGACAGCATGAACCTAACTCCTCCAATGTTGTTGGAGTTATATAGGCGACTGACAACACTGCCATCTCTAGTCTCTACTGCTGCTGCCGCCTCTACCACCATTATGTATGGCTTATACTCTCAGTGGCCCTTATACACCCAACAACAACAACACAGCAACACTCGCGACATACTTAATGATGTATTTTATTCATTCTAGAGTATATGTCATGTTTCTATGTTATTAACCCTTTGGGAGTCACCAGGCCCTCTCAGAGACTTGTTCTCAGGGTCGCTAAAATTTAAAAAAAAAAAAAAATTCTTATGAAAAGATAGAGAATCTTTTCCCGATCATAATGACACCAAAAGTATGAAATTTGATGGAAAACTTATGGAGTTATGCTCTCGCGAAGTTAGCAGTCTCGACGATGTTTACGCATCGGCGATTTTGCCCACTTTGAGCCCTATTTTCGGCCAATTCCAATGTACTAGTCGACTGTTACAAATAACCCGATATCTAATAAGCATAGAGATCTCCGGTGAATACTAGAAAGGACTGCCCTTCTAGCATCCAGTCTGTTACTGGGTTTTTGTAACAAGTAGTCAGTATCCTGGTCCAATTATCCATAAGAATTTAGTAAGATTCAATAGTGCTTCAGGATTACATCTGGTATGCTACTAACTAAAGAAATTAAAATTTAATAAGTTTATTAACAATTAAGTTGTTTAGGCATGTATTATCAAAGTAAATTATAGTAATCAATTGAATATAATATAGGATACAAGTTCCTACACTTCTCTCGTGTACAGTAGTATTGTGCTGAAGGCACATATCACATCTTTATGGCTTTTAAGTACTGTCTGGTACATTGTTAGCATTTAATAACATAGTACAAATATATACAAGTAAGTTTGTGTGTATGTGTATAAGTGCTCTAAGTAGTTCGCTATGTGTCAGACTCGACTAGACTATAAGTCCTCACATAAACTAACTTCTTGACCAACCTGGCAATCAGAACAGCTTGCTTGAACAATAAAGCGACTGTTAAGCCGAACAGCAATATAACAAGCACAGCGACACAGAATCAGGAACAAGGAGATAATATAGCGACACTAAGTAGGGACCATCTGCAGATCCTCCACAAAAGTCACAAAACTCCCACACTACTGAATCTAAGTTCAGCATTAGAAAATCCCCGACTGTGACAGTACACAGATACCAGTACAAATTAGGTCAGAAGCTACAGCTCAGGACCTGAGTTTCTCAGAGTGTCTATGCGACACACAACCTCAGTACAACGCTGAAAATCACTAAGTCTAGACTATGTTCTGTGAACAGAGTTATGCAGAACCAACAACAAGAAAGCGACAGAGATGATCTTCCAACAAGGGCCAGCAAGGGAGAGCTAGAGGCACGTCTTGCTAGAAGAATGTCAAATGGACAAGAGGCCGCGCAGGCCAGGCAGACTACTCCAGGTGAGGTGTGATCACCCCCCCCCCCGATCACGTGACTCTCCGTGGACTGCTGCTGCCCAGCAACACAGAGAAGCCGGCAGCATAACGAGCGGAGAGAAAACACAGTAGTTAGACAATGCTGTCAGCTACTTAACACTCGAACTATGAGTACTGAATAATATATAAATGTTACATCCTACCTAATAATATAACTAAGTCAAATAATAATATAAAGCAATATATTTACAATTTAGCTAATAATGCAAATACAAGCAATATAAAATTATATGAACAGGTAATACATTATATACATTGAGGGGTCGTAACATCGACAAAAATCATAACTATTTCGTTAGAACTTCATTTTTTTTATCGAATGAGTACAAGAAACCACCCATTTACCTATTTCAACTATCCAATAAAGTGGTCAGAATTTAGCAATTTTGCCAATTTCACACAAATTTCAAAAGATGCCAATTTCCGAATAGGGTCCAGAATAAACAGGAAAGACATTCCTGGCACTAAAATAACAAGTTCTCTGTTCGTTAGTCACATCCTCAGGCCCCTCTTGTATTTCTTTGGCTTTCCACTTTGAATTTTTATTCTTACAAAAAATAGAAGATTTACTGTTATGCAGACTACTGCATTAGTGTAGAAATAGTATAAATAATATCAGCGCATTTGTGAAAGAATATTAGACTCACCAGTTGACGTGTATTGGATGCTTGGCATGATTTGTTTACTTTTGAACTTTGGCAAAATCGAACATTTCTGCTACTTTGAGCTCAATTTCAAGGTACTTTCATTGTAAAACCAGTCAAAATCATCTCAATTTCTGTAATATGTCTTCCATTCTATAAAATGAGACCAAGAAAACTAGAATACAATAATAAATACCATACAAAAATACAGTGCAAAGTCGCTGTTTTATTCCAAAAACACGGTCAAGGTTTTTTTTTCTCATTACGCACTGTGTGCTGCAGGATTTTTTTTTATACTGCACACACTGACCACATAGACCCATTCTTTCATATGTAGGCCTACCAGCTTTCTCACTAGATTTGAGGGTGCTAGAATTTAGGCATACTAGTACGTCAAAAACCCTGGGGCATAAGCCGTACTAGTACTGCCGAAACCCCCAAAGGGTTAATATTGTTTATTATGTCATATTAGATGAATTGTGCTAGATAAATAAGCTGTAGAGCTGATATTAGTGTCATATTGAAGGACTATCTTGTGTCTCCCAACACAATTCCTAACATACGCCAGAAACAGACCTTTCTGGAAATCTTTTTTGAGCGACAGGGGTCCAGTGGCTCTCAAGCTGGTCCTAGTGGCATTAAAAAACAAAGGAGGGAAGTAACCCAGGATAAGGACTTGGTACCTGAAGTCTTTATGGAGTGGGATTCCTCTTTCAAACAATTGTAAACTCTTCCATCCTCTCCCCTCCTCCATCTTCCAGAGAGGGGAGGAAAGTGGGTGAGAGCTGAGAGCCTAGGAGAGGGGACCCCTGTCCTAGCAAAGAGAGGAGGAAAGGAAGGCGAGTGAGGGCTGAGAGCCTAGGAGAGGAGACCCCAGTCCTAACAGAGAGGGAAGGAAACGAAGGTGGGTGAGGGCTGAGAGCCTAGGAGGGAGGCCTTTCCATCCTTCGCTGCATATACAGGAAGGCTCTGCTTTACAACACTTCATTTTATAGTGTTTCATTAATGCAGTGGTTTTTCAATTTTTTTTTTTTATTATTAACACACTGGCCAATTCCCACCAAGGCAGGGTGGCCCGAAAAAGAAAAACTTGCACCATCATTCACTCTATCACTGTCTTGCCAGAAGGGTGCTTTACACTACAGTTTTTAAACTGCAACATTAACACCCCTCCTTCAGAGTGCAGGCACTGTACTTCCCATCTCCAGGACTCAAGTCCGGCCTGCCGGTTTCCCTGAATCCCTTCATAAATGTTACTTTGCTCACACTCCAACAGCACGTCAAGTATTAAAAACCATTTGTCTCCATTCACTCCTATCAAACACGCTCACGCATGCTTGCTGGAAGTCCAAGCCCCTCGCACACAAAACCTCCTTTACCCCCTCCCTCCAACCTTTCCTAGGCTGACCCCTACCCCGCCTTCCTTCCACTACAGACTGATACACTCTTGAAGTCATTCTGTTTCGCTCCATTCTCTCTACATGTCCGAACCA